CTCTCAAATAAATAAATAAATAAAAATTTAAAAAAAAAAAAAACAAAATAATCTTGGTGAAAAGTTACCAACTGTCATTTATAAAGGTCAACCAACTAGGATAAACAAAAGACAGAAACAGGAAAGGTTTGAAACCCTGAAACCAAGTAAACAGACTTCCTTCTCTATACAAAACTTTTTTCTCAAATTATGAAAAAAAACCCTTTTTTCTCTTTTTTATTTTAAAATCACTTATTTATTTATTTAACATTTACAGGGGCTCACTACACAGCTCAGACTTGTAGTGATCCTTCTGTCTCAGCCTCCCCAGCACTGGGACTACAGGTATGTGCCACCATGCCCAGTTTTGGTGGCTGGCATGGTGCACCCGGGGTTCCAGGGCCAACATGGCATTTGGTACCAGGGATTGAACCTGGATCCTTGCGCTTGCCTGGAATGCACTTAGATCACTGAGGTATCGCCCCAGCCTTTTTCTCTTGGTACAGAACACAGGGCCTCAGGCATGGTAAAGAAAGCACTTTGCCACTGAGCAACATCCTGTTTGGAGCTGTTTGCTTGCTTACTTGCTTGTTTTTGAGAGAGGGCCTCACTGTGTAATTCAGCTGGCCCTGAACTCCATGTAGCCCATGCTGCCCACAATTTAGAAGCAATGCTCCTGCCTCAGCCTCCTGAGTGCTGGGATTACAGGGTATGCCAACATGCTCAGCTTATTTGTGACTTTTTACAATTTCCTTTTTAAAAATTTTTTCTATTTTTTAAATTTCTGCAAAGCTTTACTCCAGATGGATGCAGTCCTTGGCAGCTGCCTTCCTCATGGCAGTCAGCATGTTGCTCAGCTCCTCATGCTTATTCCTGGCCCGGATGTGTGGCCCCACCCTTTTCCTGATGAACTTAAAGGTGAGTTTGTCCTTGGAGACCTTGAGCAGCTCCATGGCGTGCCACTCATAGGAGGCAAAGCTGCACACCCACCTCCCAGGTCATGTCCTGCACAAACTGTTTGATGAGGTGTCCACGACAGCGGCTAATGCCTCGGCTTGCTCACATTCTTAAGTCACCTTGGGGCCCTTGTTGAGGCCCACAGCCATGGACAGCGGAGGGCCATGGCTACCGTTCTTCAATGGTTGCTGTGGCGGAAGCTACAATTTCTTTTGAATCTATAGATACTTTCAAACTAATTTTAAAAGTTACTGAATGGAAATATATTTCCCACTGTCAAGAAGTGTATCTTCTTAAAAACTTAGATAATATAGAAGTACCTAAGTTAAAAGTTAAAGCCACCAGGCTCAGCGGCACACACCTGTGATCCCAGTACTCTAGAGGATGAGGCAGGAAGATTGCTGTTGAGTTCAAGGTCAGCTTGGGCTACATGGTGAGCTCAGGGCCAGCCTGAACTACACGGTGAGACCCTGTCTCAAACAAACAACAACAACAACAAAAAACTAAACTAAAAAAACCTAAAGCCACCTCCTTATGTTATGCTTGTTTTTCTCTCTTAGTAGTATATTAATTGATTTCTAGTTCCCAAATAAACCTAACTTTGTAACATTTGTTTTTTGGAAAGCTTCTTGTATCAAAGTTTCTAAGCAATAATAATTTTGAAACTGTAATTAGAAAAATCAGTAAACAAGAGTGATGGCCTGTGCCTCTATAATCCCAGCACACAGGAGGCTGAGGCAGGAAGATGTGCGAGCTTGAGCCAAGCCTGGGCAACACAGCAAGACCATGTCTTAAGAATAATTTAAAAAGATGGCCCAGTCAGATAGCTCAGCAGACTAAAGCGCCTGCTTAGGCAGAGACAGCGGCCGGGTTTCGATCCCTGCTGTGCCGTGCTGGCCATGCTCCCTGGAGCGCACTGAGACGGCAATTGAGACTGGGCTCGGGGCGCAAGTCTGTAATCCCAGCGCTTGGGAGGCTGAAAATAGGATCACTACAAGTCCTATATAGTGAAACACTGTAGACCCAGTACTAAGTTTTAATCACATGAAAGTCTGTACATTTTTAAATAATTTAGTACTGTAGACCCAGTACTAAATACATGGAAAAACAAACAAATAAATAAATGAAAAAAGAAAAATCCATAAATTACAAAGTGAGTTCAAGCCCAGTCTGAGCTGCACAGTGAAGCTCAGTCTCAAAAAGACCAAAAAAAAAAAAAAAATCTTGAAAGCTTGTGGAGAAAGTTAAACTCAGAAATTTTCATTTCCTTTAACAAAATATACACTGTTTACTTTTGTTTCATGGACTCGTATATTTATAATTTTTAAACTCAAACATTTGAATCTAAAATACTTGGCACTATACTCATTTTTTTGTTGTATCAGGGACTGAACCCAGGACTTTGCAGTTGCCAGGCAGGAGCTTATGCTGCTGAGCTATAACCCCAGCCCAGGCAGCATACTTTTTAAGCATTCTTTCGGATGGTTGGAAACAGAATTTTGAAGTCAAGAAAAATTAAAAGTAACACATAATACCTTGAAAAAAAAGGGCAAAGGAATTTGTTAAATTTCTTAAAATACCTACAGAAATCTGAGTGTGGTAGTACACACCTGGGAGGCTGAGGCAGGAGGCTCACAAGTTCATATGACTTACGAAGACCCTATCACCAAGTGAAAAAAAGCCCAGTGAGAAGGCATGGGTTCATGGGAGGAATGGTGTATCAGGGAGGAATGGAGAGAGGTAGGAAAAGAGCTGAACGCAATTAACAGATTGCTTTAATTTTTAAATATGCCTATTACCCACTCAAGGAATTTGAGAAAAGAAAGAACCAAATCATACTGGTGCCAACGTAAAGGTTTGTGAAAGCCTTTACTGAAAATCTTGAAAGAAATCTAATTCTATGTTTTTTTATTTTTGTATTTGTTTGTTTGTGACAGGGTCTCTGTATGCAGTTGAGGCTGGCCATGAGCTCACTTCATACTCTAGGGTGGTCTTAAACTCTCAACGATCCTCCTGTCTCAGCCTCCTGAGTGCTGGGCTAACAGCAGTGCACGACCATGCCTGGCACTGGAATTCATAGTGATCCTCCTACCTCAGCCTCTGGAGTACGGGAATTATGGGTGTGCGCCATCATGCCTGGCTCCTATATCCAGATTCTTAATGTGTATTTCTCTAGCTTTTTCCTAAGTTTTAATCACATGAAAGTCTGTACATTTTTAAATAAATTAGCTAATTATACATATGCATTTGTAACCTTTTTTTATTATTTAAGACCGTAAGCATCTTTCCACATCAATAAATGCTTACTTCAGTCCTTACAAACTGCACAGTGCTCCATCACATGGCTGTCCCATCTATCGTCTTTTTTAGGCTAGACACACTGGTACTTCTCCAAAGAATAAGCTTGAAATATATGAAATGGTCATTAGTTGGTTCGTTTTTTCTTCTTGTTTCCTTCTGGAGATAGAGTCTTGCTATGTTGCCCCAGTTGGTCTTTTTTTTTTTTTTTTTTTGGCAGAACTGGGGATTGAACTCAGGCCCTTGCACTTGCCAGGGAAGTGCTTATTCCACTGAGCCATCTCCCCTGCCCTAACCCAGCTAGTCTTCAACTCATGGGCTCAAGTTATCCTGCCTCAGCCTCCAGAGTGGCTGCAATATAGAACATACTGACACCTGCCAATGGTTCTGGCTATTTGCTAGTATTTTTATAGGAAAATGTTCTAGGTTGGGTTTCAACACGACATTTTTATCTGAAGAGGTATCAAACGCCCTTTAAACAGCTGTGGGCTGTGCTGGGACTCAGGAGCAGAGTGTTCATCCAGCCCTCAGGAGGCCTGGAGTCAATGCACAGAACTTAAAAGGACAGAAAAAGGGCCAAGGAATAGGATGGACAGCCCTGTCCTAGAGGATGCCCTCATGTCTCTAAACGCTCCTGAGAAACCAGTGACGGAACGAGACTAGCCCTCCCATTTGTGGCAGCTTTCTGGAGCGAGCTTGCTATGCCTTTATACTTAACTCTAAAAACATTCTGATGAAACAGATCCAACGTCTCCACCACAGTTATATAGAAGTACTGCTGGGCAAGGCTCAGTGGTGTACACCTGGAATCCCAGCTACTCTGGAGGCTGAAGCAGGCGAACTCAAGTTTGCGGCCAGCCTGAGCTACTCCTGGCACTGACTAGGCCCTATGCTCCACCCAGCACCACAAACTGAGGCAGAGCACAACCACACAGTGCTGCCAGGGGCGCTCACCTGCAGGTGCTCCTCGGGCACCACCACAGGGCCACACCGGGTCTGCACCGCACACTCCCCAGTGCAGTAGCGGTGAGGGTCATTTTCCTTCCTCAGGTACTGGTTGGTGGCACATTGTCTGGGTTGTTTGTACACCACATTGGATTGCAAAAGAAAGAGAAGAACAGTTCACATTAGTTAGGCCACAGTCATGAAGCGGGAGCGACAATGTTACTTCACTGACAATGGTTAATAATTCAGCCAGGCCATTACTCTGAGAAAGGAATTTAGCTGTGTGTGTGTGTGTGTGTGTGTGTGTGTTACTGGGGACTAAACTCAGGGCCTTGTGCATGTGAGGCAAGCACTCTACCTCTGAGCTATATCCCCAGCCCTTTGTGTTTTGTTTTGTTTTTTGCAGAACCAGGGATTGCACTCAGGCCCTTGCACTTGCCAGGGAAGTGCTTATTCTACTGAGCCATCCCCCTGGCCCCGGCCCTATGTGTTTTGAGACAGAGTCTCAGTACACAGCCCAGGCTGGCCTCAAACTTCCAGTGATCCTCATACTTCGGTCTTCTAAATGCTGGGATTATAGGTGTGTGCCACCACGCCCATCTCAAATACTTCATAAAGCCAACAGAGTAGCACGTACTGGAGGGAGGAAGAGTGTGAAGGAACAGAGGATAACACTGGCAAAAAGATCCACTAGGCCCCACCACAGAAAATCAGGGCAGAAGGGTGACAGGCAGGGGCTTTTCCTTCCTTTCTGAACATCCTGCAGCCTGGTCTCTGAAAGGAAACAGCACAACGTCCTAGTACAGAGCAACAGTGCGCAGCGGCCCAGGGGCTGCAGAGAGGGCAGACAGGAGGACACCTCAAGCTGTAGGCAACATGATACCACCTACCTGCTGAGCAGGATCGTGCCTGCAGGTCTGCGGACCTGGAACGTCTTCTCTAAGTAGGAAATCGCTTGTGGGAAAAGCTTGTTCTAAATAAAAATTGCATACACAAACCCAGTCAAATGAGTATCAAGAGATTGATGATGCTTACACAAGTAAGTGGCTGCACCAAGACCTGAGCACAAGAAACCAAAGCTCCCACTTTAGGCAAGCAGCAGTCAGCGGTGCAAAGGGATGGCGTGAAGGGGGGGATGGGGAGCCCTCATTTCTTGCTGAGCTCAGGTTGAGAGCAGACTGAAACTATTCCATGCTCACATTTCTATAAGCAATGAGAGACAAAAATCTCAACTACTGCATGGTAGCATACACTTGTAATCCCAGCACTCATGAGGCTGAGGCAGGAGTACTGTGAGTTCAAGGCCAGCTTGGGCTACATAGCTCAGGGCCAACCTGAATTGCATAGCAAGACCCTGTCCTGATGAGAAGAGAGAAGGGGGGGAGGGGGAGGGGAGAAGGAGGAGGGGAAAAGGAGGGGGAAGAGGGCAGAGGGGAGAGGGGAGAGGGCAGAGGGGAGAGGGGAGAGATCGCAACTATTCATCTACACTGCTTCAAATTTAAGGCTGAGATTCCAGCATTAAAGTGGTCAATACTAAGGTAATCCTATGCTTAAAATAATCCAACTTCTGCGCCCCACCCCGAACCCAGTTTCACATGCACTCTCCAGACTCAAACATAGAACATGCTCATACTTATACTGGTCATCCCCATACAAACCACTCAGGGGAATCACACAATCAGGTCATCCATCTTCAGGATGAAGAGTCCCAAAGAGAACGAGGCCACTTGAGCTACTTCTAATTTTCATTTGTCTTTGTTTTTGGAGGTACTGAGGGTTCAGGCCAGGGCCTTTTACACAGACCGGTATCTGTCTACCCCTTTTTATTTTTTATTTGGAGACGGTCTCCCTAAGTCATCGAGCTGCCCAGGATGGGCTCAAACTTGTGACCCTCCTACCTCAACCTCTTGGAGTACCTGAATTTTTGTTTCTTGAGACAGAATCTGGCTCTGTAATTCAGGTTGGCCTTGAATTCACCATGTAGCCCACGCTGGCCTCAAACTTGTGATCACCCTGCTGCCTCAGCCTCCCAACTGGGGATTACCGGTGGAGTGCTGGAGTTAGACGCGTGTGCCACCATCTTGCTCTCTCAAAATTTTTCCTTTTCACTCACCCTCAGCATGCCTTACTCCCACAAAGCTTGAAAAACAAGAAGATGGACAGACTTAATGTCAAATTATACAAGGAGGCAATGAATGTACACTGTTGTATACAGCAGCACAGCCTCGGCAGGGTACAGCCTAGTCAGCCCAGGGACGAAACAACCACTCCAACGTCTCTGACTTAGGGCCCACGCGAGGCTAGTCTACGGAGGAGAGAGGCGCCTGTCTCAAGGCTGCACGCTGGGCTGCATTCCTCACCTTCACAAGGTGCCTCTTCTCGGGGAGCAACCTGCAGAGGACAACAGGACAGGTAAGCATGGCAGTGTCCACCTGCATCTACCTGCTTGCCCGCACCAGTGAGCCCAGAACTGCCGCAGGCAGGCCGCAGGGTCACAGGGTTGAGCCCATCCTGGGAAATCTGGAGTCTCCCCACCCAGCGAGTCCTGAGAGATTCTGGCCACAGCCAGTGGATGCAGCTGGCCACTCACTCATGAAGGCACCTAATGTTCTCACAAACGATTGCACCACTTCCTGTTTGGTTTGGTTGGTTTTTTTTTGGTACTAGGGATCAAACTCAAGACCTTGTACTTGGGGAACAACCCGCTTAACCCGCTTGGGCCCCCCTCCTGTCCCTCTCTTAGACAGGAGCTTTCTTTCCCTCAATAAATATATTCTGCTAAAAAAAAAAAAAAAAAAAAACACCTTGTGCTTGCCAGACAGGCAGGCAGTTATGAGCTATCTTCCCAGCCCTGGTTTGGTCTTTTTGAAACAGGGTCTCACTCTATAGTCCAAGCTTGCCTTGAACTCATGGCAATCCTCCTGCCTCAGCCTTCCCAATACTGGGACTGTGGGCCTGTGCCACAATGGGTGATAATTTATCCATTTTCTGGAGTCCTTGGAATACATAAAAATTAGGCTGTGTATCTCACTGGTTACTAATGTGTGAACTTCTAAAATCTTCGTTTAGGGGCCGGGAGGATAGCTCAGAAGAATAGGCGCTTGCCTGGCTAGCTCAAGGTCCTGAGTTCAATCCCTGGTACTGAAAAAAAAAAGAAAAGAAAAAAAAAAATCTTGGTTTATATTAGTCCTTCCTACCTTCTCTAAGCACTTTTTTTTCCCTAAGTATTTCTTGACAGGTGATTTCTAGTATGCTACTGATCACAGACGTACACGTGCTCTATTTAAATCGTTTTCAGCACACTGACCTTAATCCTTTTCAGGCACTTTAGCTTTTCAAACACTAAAATCATTTTCAGCTTAATTTCATTTTAAAGCTACTCTAGCCTTTTTTTAGTTCCATCTATGGATTTCTTCTTCTGATACCAGAGACTGAACTGAGGGCCTTATATGTGCTAGGCAAGCTCTCTAACAATGAGCTCCTTATTTCTCCGGCCCTTTTTCTTTCTTTTTTTAAATAGGATCTTGTAAACTTGGCAGTTGGCCTCAAGTGTATGAACCTCCTGCCTCAGGCTTCCAAGTAACTGGGATTATAGGTATGTACCAAGAGGTGCAGTTCTACATCTGGTCTTTTTTACTTTAGGCAACAGATGAAAATACCTTTAATATTTAAACTGGGCCTGGTGGCACATACCTGTAATCCCAGCACATGGTGAGCTGAGGCCAGCCCAGGATACACAGTGAGTTGAAGGCCACTATGGATACATAGGGAGCCCGTCTCAAAAGGCAAAAAACTTAAAAACCTTTCTTCCCTTCCCCTTCCCCTTCCCCTTCCCCTTCCCTTTCCCTTTCTTTCTTTGTCTTTTGAGACAGGGTCTCCCTATGCAGTTCAGGATGGCCTTGAGCTCACTCTGTAGACCAGGCTGGTCTCAAACTCGCAATAATCCTCCTGCCTCAGCCTCCTGAGTGCTGGGAGTACAGGCATGTGCCACCACCCCTAGCCCAAAAAATCTTTGCTATTTAGAATGACAATAAAAAAGATGACAGGCCAGCAGTATAGCTCAGCAGATTAAAGCGCCCACTTAGGCAAGTGCAGAGACCACAGTTCAATCCCCAGCACCACATGCCACACCAGCCCTGCCCCCAGAGGCACTGAGTAGGCCACTGAGATCAGGCATGGTGTTTCACACCTGTAATCCCAGCACCAGGGAGACTGAAAGCAGAAGGATCACGAGTCCAAGCTGCATAGTGAGAGTCTGTAACCAAATACATTAAAAAACAAATAATAAAAAGATGACAAAGTAATAGCATACTTACTCCTCAATACTTTTATCATAGACAGTCTTGATTCTTAAATGATCATCAACACCTCTCTTTACAACATGATTTGTCTTAAGATGAACCTTATTTATGACCTATTAAAGGAATAGATTTGAAAAGTTATTAAAGGTGTACATATTTATTGAGGTAAAATTTACATATACTAGGACAACACATTCAGGCCCCCTCCCCTCCTACATCTCAGGAGCTGCTCCTATTCCCCATTCCTTAGTCTCCATTTTTTTCCTCCAATGAATTTTCCTATTCTTAACCTCCATTGTTCCTTACCATTCACTCTTCAGCTTTGGGGAACACAAACTCGGCATACCTGACAGCTAGCACTTTCCCTCTATCACCTTGGAGGTCCCACTGAGATGCTTGGAAGAAGTTTAGAGACTAAAACTACAAAGAGTTAAGAAGGCTGCTAAGAAGGCAGCCAGTATTTTGGCCCTAGTTCTCCATGGTCAGTAAGGACACAGCATACAAAGGAAACTTTCTAGAGGCTCCTACAGCATCGAGACTGCCAAACTCCACTTGATCTTGCAGATGGAACCAACAACAAAGGTGCCGGACGCCTCTTACTGGGACTCACTAGATTGACCTCGGGAAGGGCATTCATAACTGCTAAGCTGCAACATGCCATTCAGCCAAGTTCCCTTATTAGATTAACTCTCGGGAGAAGGCCCCTGACTGCAGTCTCCCCTACACTGACCCCCCCATCTCAGCTGGAAGCAGCCAGATGGAAACTACACCCCTTCTCCACTTCAGAGTGGGAACTTTACAGTCAGGTAAATTAGGTAGATATATTGTAGGCAGCCAGACAGGGCTGGGCCCTCAAGGGCTTAGTGCAGAAGACAAAACATCAGGACTGTGGCTGAAGCCAGATCTAAGACTAAAGTCAAAATGGCCAGATTCACATACTTCCTAAGGAATGAAGCCCAGCTTGGAATTACTGGTGTTGGGGATGGCAAGATAGCTCAGAAGACTAAAGTGCCTGCTTAGGCAAGCTTAGGCAAGTGCAGGGACTGAGGTTAGATCCCTGGCACCACATGCTACATAAGCCCCACACCCAGGACTGCTGAGCCAGCCACAAAAAATAATAAAAAATAAAAAAGGAAATTACTGGTGTCACCCTTTTGAGATCTTCCATTACTTGGGGGGAGGGGGAATGCTTTCCCACCCACTAAGACTCAAGACAAGACTAAGACTATAGATTATTGACCAAGGTTAATGACGTCACCCATATGCCCTTCCTACCACTGGATCAATACTACCTAGGGAACTACACTTGCAACCTTATTGGTTGATCATAATCTTGGCCCACACTGCACCCCTCCTATTTTTGCTCTATAAAGCTTCCTTTGGGAGATGGAGTTGTTGGCAACCCATTTGGGACACCTGTTTAAAAAAAATAATAACAATTTACATATAATGAAATATACCCATTTGTTTAACCAAATGAAATCCAAAGTTGAAATAAATCAACCAAATTTCTTTTCATTTTATTTTTTACTTTTATTTTTGAGACAAGGTCTTGCTAAGTAGTTCAGGCTGGCCTTGAGCTTAGTATGTAGTCCAGGCTGGCCTAGAACTTGCAGCAAACTTTCTGCCTCTGGGGTTGGAGAGATAGATAAGCAGTCTAAACACATGCCTGGCAAGCACAAGGACCTGGGTTTGACCTCCGGTACCACATGCCATGCTGGCCCCGGAAGCAGTGCCAGCCACTGAAACAGGGCATGGTGATGCGTGCCTGTAATCCCAGCGATGCGGAGGCTGACACAGGAGGATCACTACGAATCTGAACTGCATAGTGTAAATAAAATAAAATAAGCTTCCTGCCTCAGCCTCCCAAAGACTAGGATTAGAGGTGTACACCAATGTGAATGGCAGAAACACTGTTTCATAAGTTTTTGTCCACATTTAAAAGTAATTTAAGATACTTCTAGTTTTTTCCTGTCATTTTCTGAAGACAACAAAACTAGAATTTATAGAAAAAACTACAAAGCCAGGTGGCCTGAAATCCCAGCACTTGGGAAGCTGAGGCAGGAAGACTAGGGCAAATTCCAGGCCAGCCTGGGCTACATAATCTCCAAGTAACAGTTTCATTGTTGCTTTAGGAGACCCAGGGAGCGGATCAAATCAAATTCGGCTTGCGCAGCTGCTAAGCGAGCCCTGGCCAGAAACAGGTCTGAGTCCTTCACTCATCTCTAGCGCCCTCTAGCAGCTGTGGTTAGAGTCGCATCCTGGACTCACCGCCAGACTCCATGCTCCCTTCAGGCCCTGGGTCTCTGCCAAGGCGCCCGACTTCTCTGTGACCAGCTTTTCGTGTGTGTAGGACAGTTACAGTACAAGTTAATGTACATAACTGACTGACAATAAATAAATGCACAAAAAGTGTTTATTGTATCTTTATTAAGATGCTTTTCCCAGCTGAGCATGGTGACACACATCTGTAAAACCAGCACTGAGGAAGCTGAGACAGGAGGATTGCCGTGAGCTTAAGACCAGAAGAGGCAACATAGTGAGTTCAAAGTCAGTTTGCACTAGAGAGTGAGAGCCTGTCTCAAAAAAAATCAAAGGGGAAAAAAATGAAGAGGAGAAAGAACAAAAACTACTCCTACATTTCCTTCCTTTCTCCTACATTTCCTTTCCTCTAAACAAAGCGAATACTTGCTATTTTTTGAACACAGATTTTGATTTCGAGTTTTGTTTTTATTGGAAAAAAGGTCGTGCTATGTAACTCAGGCTTGTCTTGAACTCACTTTACAAGAAAATGTCAGAACGTTGGCAAGTATTAAAGACAGATGACAGATCCACTCCATTCATCATACTATTCTTGTTTTGATGTACGTGCTAAGAATTTTTAAAAACATCTTTAACTTTTAGTTCAGAGCAAGTAAAGTAAGTCAGTGTTTTGTATTTTACCACCACCATCACAAGAAAAGAAATTAAAAATGGTTACAGTAATTTCCTGTAGAATTTACAAGGGTTGTAGCCCAGCATGTGTGTAATAGTTCTCACTACACCTGTCCAGGCTAAAGCAAAGAGAGTAGCAAGGGCGACTTGTTACCACAGATTCTGTGAAGGACTAGGAAATAGATTAGGGAGAACTCTGGAGAACTTTAAACAGCTTGTCTTTAATATCTTAAGTACTTTCACTACTAAGCTAATTCTGCCAAGAGGCACACAGAAATATAGTGGGCAGAAGTATCAGTAATTTTCCTGCTTCATAATAAGAATTTTAACTTTAGAAAAGATATCACGTCTGCATCTTGTACTATGAATAACTACTAGAAAGACAATAATGTGCAATGTATTAATTATTGTAACTGTTCTAGTAACCTGTTTTGAAACCATCTCATCACTATTTCTCAATAAAATTAAAGGGGGGGGGGGAGAATTTTCACAATGGTCATCTCCAAAAAGCAAAGAGGCTGCTAGCCATAAACAGCTACTAAATGTGGTAACAAAAAGGTAAAATTCTCAGCATCTAGGCTTCTTAGCTGACACACTCCTGCTGGAATGTGCTGGACAGTCACAGGCACTACACTACAAGGTCGAAGGAAGCAGCACAGGATCGTAGATACACAAAACACCCTTTCCTCCAAGCCAATGCTGTGTTTTTCCCAAAAAGGTTAAAACACACGCACAGCTTTATCTGAACCGGATGAGCCTTTTTAAAGCCTAAGCAAGAAGCCTTGACAATTTGTAACTGATGGACAACTTCAGTGACAGTCCAGGTACCCAGAACAACTAATCAGACAAGACGCCCTGAAAATCTTGCTAAGACACCCGCATCTGCCAACACTTCCCTATATCTGCAGACCTCTCCCCCCATCTTTGGTGCCTTGTAAAAACCCCACCTCTCACCCCTGACCCAGAAGACTCCTCTCCCAGAAACTGGCCCACTGACCCTCTTGACAGTGGACCTTACAGCCTACATTAAGTTCTTGGCTTTCCTATACCATATTCCTTGTCTGTTGTAAATTCTTAACTTTTTGTTTATTTTATTTAGACAAGGTCTCACTATGCAGTCCAGTTTGGTTCTGAACGCACTATGTAGCTTGGGCTGGCCTTGAATGTGCAGTCATCTTTCTGCGCCAGCCTCCAGAGTACTGGGATCACAGGTGTGCAAAAGCACTACTGATAAACTTTTATTGCCTGCATGCCCAGCCCTTCTTCTGGCATGACACGAAAGCATACAAAGATTTTGCACATGTTTGAACTGCTTTCTCCTATTTTAATCTAAATTAAAAAAAAAAAAAAAAAGTGGGGCATGGCCAGGCCTGGTGGGGTGTGTCTGTAACCCAGCATTCTGGAGGCTAAGACAGGAGGTTTCAAGATTTCAAGGCCAGCCTGGACTACAAGACCCTATTTTAACAAAAATGCACGGCTTTGCCGTCTTTCTTTCTTTCTTTCTTTCTTTCTTTCTTTCTTTCTTTCTTTCTTTCTTTCTTCTTTTCCTCCCCTGTTTTAAAGAATTCAGCAAAAATGCAACATCAGCCAACTGTGGTGGCACATCCCTGTAATCCCAGCACTCAAGAGGATGAGGCAGAAGGATCACTGGAAGCCAGCCTGGGTTACTAAGTGAGCTCAAGGCCAGCCTGAACTGCACAGAAAAACCCTGTCTCTGAAAAAGAAAGAAAATGCAGCGTCATGATCAAAGACACAATACAAGCATACACCTCACCTTAAACTTAATCTTTTGGCTCACATAGTTATGAATAATATGCATACAGCACTTGTGGAAAGTACCACAGAAATGAGTGCACTTTGACTCTTGGCTGAACTAAAAATTTGTACATCAATCTTACTTGATAATGCAGTGAGACCAATTACAAAGCCGGGCACAGCATGCAGCCTTGCTCTGGGTCACCTCCTCTCTTTTACAGAAAAAGGGAGATTATTGCGAACCCACCTCTGAGCTAAGAATAGCAAAGGAATCAAAGAGTAAAACGCACACCCTGCCCCAAGTAACGTTACAACTTAAAGACAGAAACAAGTGGAGCCTGAACAATAAGCTGGGACTTGGTGGAGGGCCAGGAGAGAGGACAGAGAAGACGTCCTGCGGAGTCGAAGGAGCTGGGGGCTGGGGTTTCACGGGAGAGGCTGGGGTTTTCACCGGCTGCCTCCGAGCTGACACTTAAACATGAAACTGAGATAGTTTAGGAAAGACGTGTAGACGGAAGGTCGCAGGAATTTTTAGGACTGAGCCGCCAGAGTAAGCAAGGGAGGTGCTAAAATAACTTGAAAATAAACTGAAATGTCTCCAGAGAACCTAACTAGTCTTCCAGCGCCTTTGTCTGGCTCTCCTACCAGTCAAAGTCTCCCCAATTTTTAGGCCAGCGATTCCCAAAATGTGCGCCTCAGGCAAGCACCAGCACCAGCTGGAACGTGAATGACTGATTCTGCGACCAGACCAGACCTGAGTTCCAAGGCGGGCGCAGGACAGCGGGCTGCGGTTTCACAAGTGCTGCGGCCGGACGACTCCCTACACACTCAAGTTTGGAAAATGCTGCTTGGGGCAGCCGCCTCCCCTCGGGGACAGCGGGGCCACCAAGCAGGGAGCAGGGCGTGAGCCCGCGTCCCACCCTTCAGGGCTTGTCTCCGCGGGAGGGCGCTTCCCCTCCAGGCCCTGCTCCATCACCCCCGCCCCACTTCACCTCCCGGCCCGCTCCGCCCTACCTCGCTGACGGAGGGGACGTGGTGCCGGCAGAGCGGGGAGCTGCTCACGGAGACGGAGACGGACGCGGACGCGGCGCCGGCCGGGAACCCGCCCAGCAGGAGCAGGACACCGCGGACCCACAGCGATCCGCTGCGGCGCCGGCGAGGGCGGCCGGGGCCTGGACCCACGGGGCCCGCTCCGCCGACCAGCTCGCGCCCAGCCGCCATCTTCGGCCAAGCGTCGTTACCATGGTGCGCGTGACGCCTCCGCGCCGCCCGCGCCGCCCGCCCCGCCGCCTGGGGCGGTGCGGACCAGCGGGAGTCGCCTGCGATTGGCTGGCATCCTCGCACGTGCACCACGGAGGCCCAGGTCCCTCACTCTCGCCCGGCGGGCCAATAAGCGACGTCCGCGCCGCAGCGGGGTGGGCTGTGGGAACCGGCCGGCGGCGGGCACGGCGATGGCGGTGGGTGGGCGCCTTCACGCAGGCAGCCGGCCAGTTCATTCATCCAGCAGCTTGGCGATCACTGGCTGCCGGGTACTCAGGCGGGCCCGTGGGCAGCTGCGAGCGCTTCCATCGTAGGCTTCATGTGGAAAGCGAGCAAAACCTATTTTCTTCTGCGCCACCGATTTTAGTCCCATTTAATCAAAACTATTTCCTAAGCCAATTATGCTCTTTACTATTTTACCTTTAATAATTAGAACTCCTTAACTGGCAAGATGAATGGATCCTGACCGTTAAGGAAACGGCCTTCAAAACTAGGCTATGAGGGGGTTCAGATGTGTATCTCTATAGCATAGAGCCTAACAAGCACAAGGTCCTGAGTTCGATTCCCGGTTTAAAAAAAAGAAGAAAAAAACGAAAAACTAGGCCATGAGGCAGGCGCTATGAAGAACTACAAACTAGGTCAGCTGTCCCTGGGGTCCACAAGAATGAAAGCCCGGAGCGGAATGAAATGAACATGTAGCTCAGTGATGTGCTCACACTGCGAGAACAAAGCACAAAATACTCGGACCCAGGACTTGCTGCAAATATACTAAAAATGAAATTGCTCACAAGCTATCAGCGGTGAGATGTTTAAATACTGGGACTTTACCTCCCATAAACGTGACAGGCACTGAGATTCCTTCTCTATTTACCTAGCCCAGGTGTTAAGTGTCTGCCATTTTAGACGAGTCCACAGTCTAACACCCTAGACATTTCACGGAGTTCACTTTGTGGGGCCAAGGATCCCAGAACCTCAAGGTCACTACCAGGGCCACCACCCTACCCAATTCGCCTTTGCCCAATAAAAACACCTCCTGGCTCCCCAACTTCGCAGTGCCCAAGTCAGTGGTGAAAGCCAGGATGCAAAAGCCTCTATTATTCTCCTGCAGTTCCCATTAATATTTATAGAGTCCACTTAAAACTCCAAGTGCTAAGCTTGACTCCCATTTCTGCTGTTACAGCCTAAAAAAATTTTTTGAACTGGTAATCAAGTCAGGACCTTGTGCTTGACTGTGCCAGAGCTATATCCCCAGTGTTAGCTATATTTCCCAATCATTTTCTGTCACACTAAATGGCCTAATTTTAGTAACTACAAGCATCTCTAAGACTTTTCTTTCCTGAGCTGCTGCCAAGCTCTTCTACATGTATTTTGTAGTTTTATTTACATAGGCAGTATTTTGTTCCATTTGTTTTTTTCAAGCCAGTCTTGCTGTGTAGCCCAAGCTGCCTTTGAATTTACAGCGATCCTGCCTCAACCTTCAGAGTACTGGGATTTCAGATGCTCACCAACAGGGATTTTTTGAGACAGGCCAGCTGGCCTTAGATTCACTTTTGTAGCTCCCAAGCTGATCTCAAACACACAGCAAGCCTCCTGCCCCAAACTCAAGTGTTGGGATTATAGGCATGTGACACCACGCCTGGTTCCAGGGCCAGCACAGCAGGGCCAGGTATCAAACTGCGGACCGTGCTTGCCAAGTAGGTGCTTATGCCTCTGAGCTATCTCCCTAGCCCAAGAAGTACTTTTTAAAAAAGCTTTGCCTATCACATCTGCTTAACTGGTACAAAGAAAAATAGCAGGGACTGTTGGGTTCTTGGAGAACTAAATCTCACCAGCATAGGCCCAAGCATTTCTTGCCCTCGAACCTAAGGTTCTCCAAACACAATTCCTTAGGGTTTCCTAAACAAAATTTCAACTGGTAGTGTGATTCATGACAACACAGATCTAAACATAATTGATGAAAAGCCCCAATCTGCAGCTCCTTCCAATCCCCTTTTTGCCTTGAGGATGTATTAAAAATGAACCTGGTACAGATCCAAGTTCATTTCCATTAATCAGACAATTGCTACCATGGAAACTATGCCAAACCATTCTTAGAACTGCCATGCTCTCCAACGTCTTTCCTCCATTAAATTTCTACCAAGTTAGTTCTTCTGACAAGAAAACCCAAGTTTCAAGTCTTTAAAGAGCTGGTTGGCAAGTCTCATTCTCAGGTAACCTTAGTGGAATTTAAAGACTTAAAAGAAGGCCAGTGATGTAGGTTAGTTAAGTGCCTGCCTGACAAAGCACAAGGTCCCACGCTCAACCCCAGCACAAAATAAAAGTTAAAACAGCTGCTACTCCATCAAGTAATCTACACTCTCACTGATACCCTATACTCGATTTTTTCAAATACCAAATTCTCAATGCTCTGGAGCCCTGCATACACTTGTAACGTACTAAAATGCTTCAATTGGCACCATATTGTGTATTAAAAAATCAAAAGCAAGCCTGGTACTAGAGCACATACACATAAACCCAATTCGGGATGCTGAAGCTGGATATTGAACCTGTGGTCAGCCTAGGAAACCTCTCAAAAGGAAACCAGGGATATAGCTCAGTCAGTGTAAGTGAAAAGTTCTGAAAAGCAAAAAGTCCTGAGTTCAATTCTCGATTAAAAAAAAAAAAAAAAAAGTAAAGCCAGGGAAAGCAACGAGTCTGGAGGTGGGCTTGTTTTTGGTGCTGAGGAACCCAGAGCTTGTGCATGCAAGGGACCAAGTCACATTCCCAGTCCTGAAGCCTTTTTTCCTTTTCCCAAGACAGGGTCTTGCCATGCTGTTCAGGCTGGCATTGAGCTTAGTAAGTAGTCCAGGCTGGTCTCAACCTCGAACTGATCCCCCTGCCTCAGCCTCAAGAATACAGGCTGTGTTGCCTGGCCCAGGCCACTGGAGCTATTTTCTGAGGTGGTGTCATGACACTTTCAACTTCACACTGTTCTGCCAGGAGTGAAGTGGTTTGGCCAATCACACCCCCCCAAAGACATGCCCTTGGGCTGGGGAGATGGCTCAGTAGAATAAGCACTTCCCTGGCAAGCGCAAGGGTCTGAGTTCAATCCCTGGTTCTGTTAAAAAAAAAAAAAAAAAAAGACATGCCCTTGCTACCTGAATGAACTTGCAAACACCAGCAATAGAACCCTCAACCCTTCCCACTTCCACTGAACCCCCCACCAGTGTGCACTGAACAAGCACAGCCCACTGCACGTTGCTGCAGGGTTTTTTGGTGGAACCAGGGTTTTGAACTCAGGCTTGCCAGGCAAGCACTTAATTCTACTGAACCATTTCCCTAGCCCTAGGTTTTCTTTTTTGCAGTGCTGCACATGCAACCAGGACCACCAGACTGCTGCCCAGCAGTTATAGCTGCCACAGTCCCAGCTCCTAAAGACATTTCAGTGACTCTGCCTCCCCGAAAGCAGGTTTAACCTCCCCAACCTGCACTTGTGCAGGCACTCACAGCAAGTCCTTTATTATCTTCTAAATACTTATAACTGCCCTTGCATGACCACTGAAGTTTTTCTCAATTCCTCGTACCCTGCAAATACTGGACACTCTCCATATGGCAACGTAACTCAGAACAGTAAGTTTTTTAAGCCACTTAAAAAAATACAAGAGCACAAATGCACTTTTATTTTCCGTTAGTTTAAATTCTTGAGGGGTACAGCATCTAGGGGAAAAAGAAGAACATAACATTAGGCAAGTGTGACATACAAATTTACCCATGTTACTCAGCACCCTGGTACAGGTTAACTCTCCTTTCCTTACTCATCCAGGAACAGCATCAAATCAAATCCTCATTCTATGGCAACAAGAGAGCCAAGTTTTTGTAATTGTCTTCTAGGTGAACATGCTTAAGGGCCTACACACCTAAACAAGCACACACAGTACATTTACTTCAGCACTTTCTAATAACTGAGTTTATAAATCTCATGACAAACATAAACTGTACACAGGCTTCAACAGTGCCCCACGGTTGCCAGGTGTGGTAGGTATCCCTGTAGTTCTAGCATTTGGGAGGCTGAGATAGGAGGATCACCATGGGTTCAAGGCCAGCTTGGGCTACATAGCAAGACCAGTCTCAAAAAACAAAACACAGTACCCCACAGTTCCAAAATCACTATCTATGGGCTGAGAAGGCAATTGATACTGGGCATGGTGTACAGCTCTCGGGAGGCTGTAAACAGGCAGATCACTAGTCTGATCAAGTAGTGAGATCCTGAACACCCTGTAGACCCTTCCCTAAAATAAAAATAAAAAAAATATCACTACCTAAAACAGGCCCTAACTAAAGAAAAAGCTAGTTATCTGAAGAAAACCTCTGCATCTGGCCTCAAGACTTGTGCCAAACTCCAGATATGTGGGATTGTAAGCATTTGTTCAATGTAGAAAATAAGCTGACATCTACTCTGCTATAGGACACCACAGAGAACGCCTCCCTTTAACATGAAAGGAACCAGAGTTCTATGATACTCATTTATACAATAGTCACTGACTTTGCAGCACAATTGACTAGTTTCACTTCACAATCACAATGGGGGGGGGGGGTCCACAACCCAACCCTTTTTGCTTCAGTTTGACTCAACAGAGGCTCATACTGCTAATAGTGCTCATTCTGCACTCACCACACGGATTCGGTGTCCGATGGCCTTAGCAGGAAGGTTGCTTCGGAACTTGGCACGAACCATGCCGCTGTTTCCATGGGCCCGAGTTACTTTTCCCCAGATCACTCTGGTTTTGTTTGGTTTGCCACCTGGAGTCACTGTGTTGCTGATTTTAAAGGTAGAAAGAAGAGAAATGAGGGGCTGGTGAGATGGCTCAGTGGTCTAAAGCACCTACTTAGAACAAGCTAAGCAAAGCACAGGGACCACAGTTCAATCCCCCAGCACCACATGCCAGCCAGCCCAGCCCCCTGGTGGGCTGAGCTGGCCACACACACAAAATAAATGAAATTAAATAAATAAATAAATAAAAGATCTTAAAATTAAAAAAAAATTTAAAAAAAGAGAAATGAGAACTCAAGCTGCTGATAATAGTTTGATAAAATTCTTTATGACCTCTAGACTAGTTGCTTATCCCTGGTTACCGACCTAGAACCATCCCACAAACTTAATGTCTGCAGTGTCATTAATTTAGATACAGTATCAATTACTAGGAAATAACCAGGTCAGACACAGCTAAAGAACCAAAAAGGAACTGCTTCCAAGGTGAGACCAGCCAGATACCAAGTGCCAAATTCTCACTGGGATTATAGCAGAAACATGGAAGCCTCATGAATAGCTTCTTCCAAGTGTCTTAACAGCTTTGCCTTTGACTGAATGAATACTGGAGTTTACTAGAGCTTAAGCAAAGTACACACACTTCTAATCTCAAAGGAATACTCTGGCTGGCAAAGGAGGGGAAGGATTAAAATATCTCCCCAGACTTCTTGGAGGAGCTGGGGACTGAACCCAGGGCCTGAGCATGCCAGCCAACCAAGTGTGTACCACAGAACAAGATTCCGGGCCAGGGTACAAATCAGTGGTAGAAACACATACAGGTTGCACAAGGTCCTGGGTTCAAACTCGAGGTGTGGGGGTAGATAAATGTTCTAGAAACGTAACATGTCAAAGCCATGTATAAAATATAAAAACCACAAAGAATTTAAATGAACAGTAGGACCTCCTTCCTTGAAACAACAGCTGTAATTTTCTAAGTATTCAAGATTATTCTTCCCAAAACTACCCACAAAAGCTAACAATCTTGCTTAACTTTACACGGTTGCCAAATACCCACAAAAGTCACAGTGCCATTTTATCAAAGGCTTTCAACAAAAGAACTGAGAAGATAAGAGTAAAAATTTCAAAGCCTAATAAGGTGTAAACTTACTTTTTCGCTTTGTACACGTAAGCACATCTCTTGCCCAAGTAGAATTCTGTTTCATCCCGGGCGTAAACACCTTCAATTTTAAGAAGAGCTGTGTGTTCCCTCTGGTTCCGGAGACCCCGCTTATAGCCAGCAAAAATGGCCTTGCACCACAGTCTAAAACACACAAAATACGTGACATTAAACATAGCTATTAAAAAGATCCAGTTTTCCTTCAACAAACCACCAGTAAAATTTTACTTGTAATAACTGCTCCCCAAACACCATATATTTTCCCAATTTCAAGCTGAGATTTACACTGAATTAAAAAACAAGGCAACTATATTTAAAACGCTTACCTTCCAGACATATTTGCCTTTTAGAAGTCCTGTTCCCGGCGGGTCTGAAATAAAAGACTCAGTTTAGTACTAAGCTTCTCCCCTTGCAACTTCTTGCTTTTTAAGTCTGTCAAGTAAATCCCTTCTTGACCAGCGTTGCGCGTTGGCTTGGAGAACCGTGGGTCGTGCCCCAGCACCTACATCAGAAGCACGGCCTGACAACCCATTCAAACCACAGAGAACGACTGGAGCGACAGCTAGCAGACTGCAAACTGAGGACGAAACGAAGTGCCAAGGTAGCGTAGTGTAATTACTACAACTTTCGGCAGAAACCCCGAAGGATCATGCCGCTATCGGCAGTCCAAGTTAACTTTAAAAGATTTATGGAACTGACAAAAGCACACAAGGTTTTTAAAAACGGTGTGGGGGGGAAAGCTGGAGAATGTGGACACAGAGTTGTGGGAAAATCAGGAGCCACTACCGCCTGGGCAATGCGGACAGACGACGCGCATCTGCTTCACTCCCTCCAAGAACCAACTCCGACTACCCGGGCCACTCGTTCTCCCAGTATCGGGGCCCCGCTCTATCTGCCTTGCATCTCCTCCATCCCGTCCTCCCTGCTCTTGGAATCTTCAGAAATCACCGGCTGGCAGAATCTGCGAGCCGCCCCAGCGCCTCGCAGCGGTATATGAGCTAACCAACCCCACTTATTTGCCCCCAACTCCCACACCGGGCGCCCCCCTCACCTCCCCAGGCTCCAAGATGGCGGAAAAAGAAAGACGAAGCCCCGCCGCGTGGCCTTATGGGAAAAACCTCTCCGCCCCGCTCCCTTTTAGACATCCTCCGCGAAGGCCGGAAAAACACGCAACAGAAAACGTCTTCGAGCTGAAATAAGCCAGATTTAATAACACGCCTACAGTTCTTTCCCAAAGCCCTTTCAGCTAAAATATTCAGCAACATGTAGTATATGAAAATTGAGAGAGGCAATAAGGTAGCCAACTAAGATGGGAGAGGAAAAGGTCCCCTTCAAAAAAAAGTTGTACGTTGCTATAGCAACAGTTTAGCTTGGTCGGGGCGGACTTCCGGGCTATAGCTGACAGGTATTGCAGGATCGAGAATTTCACGCCGTTACGCGAACACAGGACTGTCTTTCTTTCTTCCTCACTGAAGTAGACCGAGCGGACTCTCGGATCCTGTCCTAGCAAGCAGAGAAGTGGGAGCAGGAAGGCAGGAGCTCTTCTTTTTTCTTATTTACTCTTTTATCTCTTTAAAGAAATTACTTAAAAGCGGGGCGTGTTGGTGCGCGCCTGTGGTCCCAGCTTCTGCTAAGCTTCTACTCAGGAGGCTGGAACGGGAGAATCGCTTGATCCCAGCAATTCCAGGCCAGTGTGGGCTTATGTAGTGAGTTGAAGGCTAGTCTGAACTATACAGCGAGACCTTGTCTCAAAGAGGTGGGGGAGAAGCGAGAGGGGAGAGAGAGGGAGGGTAAAAGAAGCCAGTACGGGCCGGGGAGATAGCTCAGCGGCTCGAGCGCCTGCAGGGCAAGCGCATGATCCTGAGTTCGATCCCCGGCTACTCCGGAGGCAGAGGCAAGAGGATCGCAAGTTCCCAGACCAGCAAGTTCCCAGACCAGCAAGTTCCCAGACCAGCCTTAACCACAGTCTCTAAAAGGGAGTGTGGAAGAGGCGCCGCCCTTGTGTGGCTCGAACCTCAAGACGGAAACACACCCCCCCCCAAAAAAAAATGAGTTCTTCAATCTGTTCTTCCCTCGGGTAAATACTCATCTCACAGGAGGAAGTTTTATCTTCAGAACTGTTTTTGAAGATCGCTTAGGATTCGGGATCCTGCCGAGAGATGGCGGTCGAGACTACATGACTAGCAGGGATTCTGAGTGCCAAGGGTTTGCTGGTGGGTAAGAGCAAGGGTGACTCCACAGTTTTATGAAACAGATGCATATACATTATATTTCAAACAGGCAATATATATATATATATATATATATATATATATATATATATAGAGAGAGAGAGAGAGAGAGAGAGAGAGAGAGAGAGAGAGAGATAGATAAGCTGGACATGCTAATGCATGCCTGTTATCCCAGAATTCTGGGAGGCTGAGGCTGGAGGATCCCGTTTGAGCCCAGCTTGGGCAAATTAACAATTTAGTTAATTTAGCTAGACCCTGTCTCAAAACAAAAGGCTGGCAATGTGGCTAGGTGCAAATGCCCTGAGCTCAAGTCTTAGTGCTGAAAAAGAAGAAGAAAAGCATATATCTGTTGTATAGAGATTATTAATTAAAATGAGAATGCAATGAACCATGCTAAACTCACATTGGATATTAATGCACCTTAGAACGAGGCATGATGAGTGCGTGTCTGCAGTTTTGTTAAATCGATACTTAACAATACTTTTGTTAAATCAATACATTTTTGTTTCTGTTATTTTAAGACAGGGTCTCATTTTGTAGTAGCTCAAGCTGGCCTCAAATTCACTGTGTGCCCAGGCTGCCGTCTGACTCATGGCTGTCTTGCTGCCTCTGCCTCTGGAGTGCTTCTGGGACTGCATGCATGGGCCACTATGGCTGGCCTAGGTGCAGCCCTTTTTTTTTTGGCGAAACCAGGGATTGAACTGAGGCCCTTGCATTTGCCAGGCAAGCACTTATTCTACTGAGCCATATCCCCAGCCCCCAAGGTGGACCAGTAATTAAGCTGCTGTTTAGAGACCTGCATCCCAGGCTACCAGTGGTTCTTCCACCCCAGGACACCAGCCACACTAAGCAAGATGGGGGCTGAACCCCAGCTCTGCAACTCTTTTTGTCCCAATGAAAAGGCTTTGCACTGACCATGGTGGTGCACACCTGCTATCCAGTGCTTTGGAGGCTGAGGCAGGAGTTTGAGGCCAGCCTGTGCTTTGTACTGCGTTCAAGGGTAGCTTGAGCTCCATAGCAAGACCCTGTCTCAAAAAACACAACAAAAATGATAAAAAGGATAGAAATAACTGGAACATCACTCAGCAGCCCTAAGATAATCTCAATGTCTCCTCATTTCAGGTGACTACATTTTCGTGAGATTGCAAACATCCCGTGGAGGCTGACGAAACTACAGAAGAATGGAAGAGTACGTTCAGAATCCCAGCGTATTTTGTGCATATAGGTTTAATTCTGCCGGTGTGAATTTGTGCAGACTTGTGCACTGCTGTGTAATGAGGTACCCTGGTGTGTAGCGCTGCATGCAGTTCGGATGGGTCAGGCTGGGAGCAGCACAGCCTGGTTCTGGGTCTGCTTCCAGCAGTCTCTCCCCAAGGCTGCATCACCCAGGGCTGTGGCCACAGGGACCTGCTGGCCCAGGTGGCTTCCAGTGGCTCAGTGGCAGAGGACGGGACTGGACTTGTCCCCTACAACACAGGGCAAGGCTGCCTGGGTGTCCTGGACATGGGTGTCCAGGCTGCCCCCAACGAGGGAGTGGAGCCAACAAGAGGAAACTGCTGCAGCTTTTGTCTCCCAGCTTTGAAAGTCCCACGGTTACCCTCACAGTGGTCTCCTGGTTACACTTGAGTTCCACTCTACATGGGGTATCAAGAGCACCAGGGCAGAAATCTCAGCAAGCAAGGGCCTGTGCTGCTTGGGGGCCACTGTCACCTCATGTTTCTCAGTAACCAGATGCTTCTGGTTGCATTTAAAGATATGGCTGGAGAACAAGGTCAATCTTGTTCTCTACAGCTGGGGCTGTAGAGATGGCTCAGTGGAGTAAGTGCTTCCCTGGCAAGTGCAAAGGCCTGAGTTCAATCCCTGGTTCTGCAAAAAAGAGAGAGAGAGAGAGAGAGAGAGAGAGAGAGAGAGAGAGAGAGAGAGAGAGAAGAAAAAGGAAAAAAAAAGAAATACAAAGTAAGCATAGCTAAATAGGATGGATCTTCATTGCTTTCTCCCACTCCCTCCCTTCTCCTGCCTCCTCCTGGTGCTGGGATTTGAACCCAGTGCTCAGGCATGCTAAGCATGCACTGTACCACTGAGCTACATCCTTAGCCCTTTTGAAAAACAATTTTGTTTTTGTTTGTTGGAACTGGGGATTGAACTCAGGCCCTTGCCCTTGCCAGGCAAACACTTGTTCTACTGAGTTATCTCCCTGGCCCCAAATTTTGTTCTATTTTTGAGACCAAGGCTTCAAAAGTTGCCCAGGCTGGCCTCAAACTTGTGGTCCTCCTGCCTCAGCATCCCAAGTAGCTGGGGTTTCAGGGGTGTACCACCACACCCAGCAGGAGCTACATATCTTTATGAAACAATAAGTTATTGGCCTTTGGTCTAGAAAGGTAAATGGTATTTATCAGAATCCCATACAAGGATTAAAGTGCCTGCAAGTAGGCTCAGGGGCCGGGGGTTCGATCCCCAGGCCTGCCATGCTGGCTTCACCCCTGGGGGGTGCACTGAGCTGGCAATTGAGACTGGGCATGGTGGCATGTGCCTGTAATCCCAGCTCTTGGGAAGCTGTAAACAGAGAGATTACTATGAGTTCGATCTAGTAGTAAGGCCCTGAACACCCTGTAGACCCTTCCCTAAAATACAAGGAAAAAAAAAAAAGAATCCCATGTAAATTCCTACTTTCTTTTTGTTGTTGTTGTTAATGTTTTAGGGGGTTTTTTTTGGTTTTTTTTGTTTTTTTGAGGCGGGGTGTCACTATGGAGCTCAGACTGACCTTGAACTCACTATGGAGCCCAGGGTGTTCTTGAAATCACAGCAATCCTCCTGCCTCTGCCTTCCCAGTGCTAGGATTGCCAGGCATGCGCCCCTTCGCCTGGCTTGCCTGTGTTTCTGAGTTTCACACTGGAATGTTGCTGGTGGATGTATCTTTTCTCTATTCTCTCTTTAGAGACAGCTTGGAAGCCTTGTCAGCGCCTCCAGAAGCCTGGCCTGAGGCAATGGCACTGGTAACAGGTGAGCCACCCAGTGTGGCCGAAGAAGCAGCCACAGCTGAGGAGCCTGAGGCCAAAGTGGCGCTATCCCTGCTGGAGGTGCTGACGGTCTCTGTGGTGCTGGAGGACATGGGTGACCAGCTGTCGATTCTGGGCTACATCATGCCGTGGCCACTGGAGCGGAGGCAGAGCGCAGCGCCGGTGGGTGTGGTGAGTGCGCACTGACGTCCCCAGCCTCCCTCCAGCAGGTCCAGCAGGCTCCTGGCCCAGCCCTGTCTCTGATAAAGGCTGTTGGAACATCTGCACCCTGTGCTCCGTGTGGTCAGTGGTGGTATTCACAGAGGCCCTGGTTGAAATCAAAGAAAGACAATGCACACAGCCCTCCACACCGACAGGCTCCATACCCATTGTGCAACCAACCTCAGACAGAAAATATTCTGAATATAATTGTGTATGGGAATACCTGGGGTCAGCACAAGAGAGGCTGAGGCAGGAGGATTACCATACACTCACGGCCAGCCTGGGCTGCATAGTGATACCTTGTCTCAAATAAAACAAAAGGGTCAGCCAGATAGCTCAGTGGATTAAAGAGCCTGCTTAGGCAGGCTCAGGGACACGGACTCAGTCCCCAGCATGCCCTGCCCACCCAGCACCTGGGGCACACTGAGACAGTGACTGAGTCTGGGCATGGTGGTGCATGCCTGTAATCCCAGTGCTTGGGAGGCTGAAAAATAGGATCACTACGAGTCCACTCTGCGTAGCGAGACCCTATAGACTTAGTACTAAAATACAAAAAAAAAAAAAAAGGAAGAAAAAGTGTGTTCAATTTTATTTTTTTAAAGTTTTTTTTTAATTTAATTTTATTTTATTGTGGGAGGGGCAGCTCAGCTCACCAGGGGGCGGGGCTGGCTGGCATGTGGTGCTGGGGGACTGAACAGCAGTCCCTGTGCTTTGCTGAGCTTGTTCTAAGTAGGTGCTTTAGACCACGGAGCCATCTCACCAGCCCCAGTGTGTTCAATTTTATTTCCTTGTCACTGTTTCCTAAAGAATACAGTGTAACAACCACGCTACCTTGTACACGCTGCTCTGCTCGCTGCTCGCTGCTCGGGAGGCTTGCTTATAGGCCACGCACAAATAATGCACCACTTTACACGGGGGACACCGTGTCCACAGAACCCCAGACGCTGGGCTCCGTAGGACCCCTGTGTGCACCCGGGAGGGAAGCAACGCTGTGCCTGCGCCCAGACCACATCCCAGCCCTCTGGCCCCCGCCTTCGTTGCTGGAAGATAACTAAAGGCTAGGGGAGAAGTTCACCACACACTTCCCAGTGCTGTCTCGGCTGAGCGTGCCGCGACCTGGGTGGGCACTGCTTGAGCCACTGCTGCTCCTCAGCCAATGCACTTGAGATAATGTTCGGACTCCAGAGCACCGCGGGGTTATCACAGAACTTAAATGAGTTGGAAACATTTTTTTTTTAATTTTAGGTATTTGGTACAGGGTCTCGCTACACAGCTCCCTGACTGCTAGGGATCCTCCTGTTTTTGGCCTCTCCAGTGCTGGGATTACAGGCATGAACCACCACGCCCAGTCTCGCCTGGCTTGGTGCTTCCAGGGGCATGGCTGGCATGGCATGTGGTGCCAGGGATTGAACCTGGTCTCTGCACTTGCCTAAGCAGGCACTTAGACCACTGAGCTATCTCCACAGCCCAGTAGGGAGCAATCTTTATTTTTTTTCTTTTTTGGGGAACCAAGGCATATAGTTTTAAACCCATTCCCTTTCCCCTCTTGGTACTGGGGATTAAACCCAGGGCCTTTACAATGAGCCACATTACATGCACAGCCACTAAGTTAACCAGACTTGGTTTGAATTTATGATCTTCCTGCTTTAGCTCCAAAAGTGCTGGGATTATATGTGTTTGCCACCATACCCACCAAATGTTTAAATTCTAGCTGAGCATGGAGGCACACACCTATAATCTCAGCACTGGGGAGGTTAGGCAGGGGGATTATTAAATTTGAGTGCAGAGGGCCAGCCAGATAGCTCAGCAGATGAAAGCTAGGTAGACACAGGGGCTGGGGCTTTGACCCCTGGCCTGCCATGCCGACCCTGCCCCCAGAGGCAATTGAGACTGGCTGTCGTGGCACACACCTGTAATCCCACACTTTGGAGGGCTGAAAAACAGGAAGGATCACTATGAGTCAGAGTTGTGTAGGGAGACCCTGTACCAAATACATTATAAAAAAAAAAAAAGAAGGAAAGATTTAAAAAAATTACTGGCTAGGGAGATTGCTCAGGGGCATAAGCACCTGCCTGGCAAGTGCAAGGTCCTGAGTTCAATCTCCCATACCAAATAAATAAATAAATAAAAGAGAAAAAAAGAGAAAAGAAAATTAGCCAGGTATAGTGGTACTACCTGTGATTTCAGTACTCTGGGAGGCTGAGGCAGGAGGATTACCACTTTGAACCCAGCCTAACCACCTAGTGATTTAAGGAGCACCTAGCTCCAAATAAAAAAAATGGCCTTGGCCATAAGTTTTACAAGTTCAAATCTTTGTAGCTCATCACTCAGCATGGAGCCCTTCCTGAGCAGGTCCTTAGCTGTGGCTCTGATGTAGGTAGTGATGTCACACAAGTGCTGTCCTTTTGATTAAAAGGATGAACCACATTCCAGCCATGGTCTGGGACTTGGACAAAAATTAATATCCCGTTGGAAAGTAGATCTAGTTTCCGTATTTCATAGCCTCCCCGCTCTTTGTCTGTATTCTTTTACCATGAAAAGGCAGGACAAGATAAACATGGGTAGAGACTTTTAGGACATGGGATCCAAACAGGTTAGGAAAGGTGGAACGAGTTGAGCTCTCTTCGGGATAAGAGGGAAGACAATGGCATGGGGCTGGCAAGCTCCATTTTTTTCTTCTATCTCCTGCATCCTTATATCTTTCCTGTGGCCCCCCCCCAAGTGTAGATGCTGAGTAACTTTGTGTTATTACAAATGAGGTAGCTTGGGGGACTGGGCTCCAAGGAAAAGCTGTAAGATGCACCCAAACAGTAGCATTTTCTCTCTAGAGAAGGCTTTTGATAACAGGGCTTAAAAATGAACTGGCTCTGTCCAAGGTGCTGGGCGTGGTGCACAGTGGCAGTGTTTGTACCAGGTTCCAAGAGATGAGAGCTCCACAAGACATAGGGACAGGACGAGTTGTTGAGTATCTGACACTTCAAGAAAGAACTGGAAAGGGCTCCAGGAAAGGGGAATCCAACAGTTCTTGGTTCTTTCCTGAAGATGGAAACGTCATGGAGAAATGATTTTGTTTTTCATGCTCTGGCAATGGCTACATCTAGCACTTTAGGAAAAAAAATAAGTATATTTAATAATTTTTGTCTCACCTTAGGAATAAGAGTTTAGAACAGGGGCTGGTGAGATGGCTCAGTGGTCTAAAGCACCTACTTAGAACAAGCTAAGCTTAGCAAAGCACAGGGACCGCGGGTCAATCCCCCAGCACCATATACCAGTCAGCCCCGCCCCCTGGTGGGCTGAGCTGGCCACACACACACAAAATAAGTAAATATTTAAAAAAATAAATAAATAAAAGCATTAAAAAAAAGTTTAGAACAATTTTGTACTGTGAATTACAAATGCTCTTTTAAGGAAAGAAATATCGATTCCAACATTCTTCAGAAACTGTGGCAGGAATAAGCAGGATATCGACTGGAACATATGCTAAAGGAAACCAACAAATTCTATTTTCTTACTGAGCAAATATTTTATTAAAACTGCTTATGTATTTCAGAGGAGTCTACAACTTCAGCGACACAATTTTTTGTACTGAAAGAACTCATACTTTTTTGGTAGCTTTTATTCTTCGTTTATTTTAGAGTGACTTTTAACACTAAATGCCTCTCAGAATACTTAATTCCACACTTTAAAAAAAGTTTTAGTTTTTTGAAGATGACCATTCAGTAGTTAACCTTCTGTGTTTGGTGCTTGGACCCTGATAGCACCAATGGACAACACCACAACTACTTGGAAACATATTTTTTTTGGAAGCAAAACTAATTTTTTATGACATATGCTATGGAGAGCTAAGAAAATTTAAAGACTACTTGTTTTCTATTTTTTTTTTTATTTTTTTTTTTGTAAATGGGATCCACTGTGTTGAAGACTCTTGCTAATTGTGTGCTTGTCTAACCATTTTTTTATAGCGTGCAGTCTAATGTGATCATGGTCATCAAATAAATTTGGAAAGTTAGATTTCATTTGTGAGTTTTTTAAAAAATCAGAATAAGTATAAACTTGACTGGTTTATTCAGTTTTTCATTATAGTTTGTTGTTAGCTATCATACTCATGACCCATGGAAAAAAAAATTTTTTTTAATTTTTTTTTATTTATGTGTGTGTGTGCGGCCAGCTCAGCCCACCAGGGGGCGGGGCTGGCTGGCATGTGGTGCTGGGGGATTGAACCGCGGTCCCTGTGCTTTAGCTAAGCTTGTTCTAAGTAGGTGCCTTAGACCACTGAGCCATCTCACCAGCCCCAGACCCATGGAAAATTAACTTGCAGGATAGAGTGCATTTTATTTCCCAATGAGTTATATAAACTTTATTTTTCTTGAAGGTTGTATGTTAAATCAGAGTCATGTTCTAATACTTCTTGAGAAGAAAGATCCAATTTTAAATTGTATCATTTCCTTCAAAATGAAGGGCAGTGTTTAGTTAAATAGAAGATTGATGATATCTTTAAAAAAAAGAAAAGGCCTTGGGCGATTGCCCTGAGCCACATCCCCAGTATTCTCCCCCACACCAAAAATTTGGAGTGGGCTACAGTCTCCAAGACACTCCTCTGTCTGAAAGCCCCCGTCTTCCAGTGAATCACAATATGGTGAGCATCCTCTAACAGGTAGTTCACGAGGAACTTACGTGTGTGTGTGTGTGTGTGTGTGTGCGCGCGCGCGCATACGTGCACACGCCATGTATGTGCATGCCGGGGTGGATTGAACCTAGGGGCTTGCATGTGTTAAAGACGTGCCTTATGTAGGCACAGTGCTACACACCTGTAGTCCCAGCTATTCAAGAGGCTGGGAAGGGGCCAGGGAGATGGCTCAATAGAATAAGCGCTTGCCTGGCAAGCTCAAGGGCCTGAGTTCAATCCCTGGTTCCACAAAAAAAAAAAAAAAAAAAAAAAAAGAGGCTGGGAAAGGAAGATCACCAGTTTGAGGTCAGCCTGGACAGCTTGGCTTAACAACATCCTGTCTTAAAAAGAAACAAAAAGTTATTTTTCATACAGGGTCTCACTATGCAATTCAGGCTGGCCTTGAATTCCTGCCTCAGCCTCCTGAGTATTGGGATTACAGGTATGTGCTAGCATACCTGGCACAAAATGAAAACAGTTTTTAAAGTTCTGGGGTTGTAGCTCAGTAACAGAATCCCTGGATTTGATCACCAGCACAGCAGATATAAGTAAAACCTAAGATGTATCTGCATAGAGCTATGCCCTCAGCCCCCAGCTTTACCTCTGGAGCTGTAGAGAGAAGGCTGGAAAAGCCACAGAATGCTGGGACATACGGGTTGCTGTGCTGAAGAAGAGAGCATGTTTTCTTCCATTGTAGCAGGCTAGTGGGATACAGCCAGGCAGAAACATGCAGGTGAGACCCTGTTTCTTGGAGTACTGTGTCATCAGTTTAAAACACCTTTCTTAATATCATTTGCTTGTAGAGAAGCAATAGCCCGGACAAGCCATCAGTGACCTTTGCTACAAGTAAAACATCATCTTCATTATTACATAAAGTACCACTATCACCGGAAGCCAAAGCAGGAGGCCAATTGGCTACAGAGTTTAACAAAACCCAAGAGCTTGCCTTTAAGACACCTACAGGGCAGGCCATCCTGACCATGGAAATGCTGAAGAAAACCCAGAGTGACAGGTGAGGACAGAGAGCAAGTTTCACGATGTAGAGCAGAGAGTGGTGGGGCACGCCTGGGATCTCAGCCCTTGAGAGGCTGAGGCAGGAGTAGAAGTTCCAGGGCTCCCTGGGCTACATGGCGAGACGCTGGCTCAAAACAACAACAAAAAGGAGGACAATGTGTGACACACAAAGTTAAGACTATTCTTTGTCCTTTGTAGAAAAAGTTTTCCAAAGCCTTTCCAAAAATTGTTTCGAGACAGGGTCTTGTTAAGTTGCTCAGGTTCAAGTGGCGTCAAACTGGCGATCCTCCTGCCTCAGCCTCCCAAGTGCTGGAATTACAGGTGAGTGCCACCATGCCTAGTTAATGAGTAGATTTGCTTGGGCTAAATGATTCCTGCATCTTAACTGAGATGCTCTGTCTGGGTTTTAACTTACGTCACTTCTATAGCCCCATGAAGCTAGGGCACCAGACCTTAATTCCCTACATCTTTTCACAGGCAGTTTCTCAGCAACATCATTGTGAGCACCATGCAGGAGTTGCAAGAGTCAGGAACTTTCATGGCCCTCTTGCAAGCCCTTCGCAAAGAAAAGGAAAGCAAGATGCACTTCTACGATGCCATTGTCAGGTCAGAACGGTGGGATTTGCTCTGTGTTTGTGCCCACGCGCGGGCATGCACGTGCTTGTGTATGCACACACACGTGTGTGTTTAGAATGGAATCTCACTGTGTTGCTCAGACTGGGGTCAAGTGATCCTCTTGCTTCAGCCTCCCAAGTAGCTGGGACTAGAGGGCTGTGCCATCATGCCCAGCTCTGCTTCATTGTATTTTAAAATTGTATAAAATTCTTACCAAGCCAAGTGTGGTGGCCACACCTGTAATCCCAGAACTCTAGGAGGCTGAGGCAGGAGGCTCAAGGCCACCCTGGGCTACATAGCTAAATGCTGTATAAAAAGAAATAAATGCGGGGTGAGGGGGAAGGATGGGAGGGCAATGGGAATGGGAATAAAACAATAAAACCCTTCTTTTTGAGACAGTGTCTTGATATGAGTTCAGGCTGGCCTTGAGCTCACTTTGCAGCCCAGACTGGTCGCAAGCTCCCAAGGATCGTCCTGCCTCAGCTTCCCCAGTGCCACCACACCTGGCTGAAATCCTTGTCTTCTTCTTTTTTTTTGCTCCGAATGCCCTCAGGGGTGGTTTGGCTGGCTGGAGTGTTGTGGGGATCGAACTCCAGCAACCTGAGGCTGAAAGCTTTGCCGAAGCAGCCACTTAAAGAACTGAGCTAGGGCCAGGCCCCTGAAGTCCTTGTCTTCTAAAGCAAATCAAATATATACTTTCCAAGAAAGATAACTAGAAGTCAGAATTGTGAGTTCTGCTCCTAGATTATCTGGGACAGTAATTCAGATTTCTATAGACCTTAGTTATCCGAAACTACAGTATGGATCAAGGATCCACCTGGTGTGGCAGCACGTGCCAATAATCTCAGTACTCGGACAGGAGGATCACCAAGAGTGTAAGGCCAGCCTGGGCTACATAATGAGTTCAAGGCCAGCCTGCACTACAAAAGAGAAACTCTGTCTCAAAAAACAAAAAAGAATATTCAGCATAGGCCTGTGGATATAGCTCAGTGGTTTAGTCTGTAGGGGAAAAAAAAAAAAAAAAAAGGAAGGAAGGAAGAGAAGGAGGGAGGGGACAAAGTTCCTTAGGATAAATTCTTGTGTGACCCGTATACCTGACTCTGATATCTGCAAGACTGGTTCCGGGACACCTGGCAAATACCAAAATGTGCGGGCATTTGAGGACCTTGCTGACATGGCCTGCACATATTTGGATCTAACTGAGACAAGGAGGGTCCCCATGAGTTTGAGGACAGGCTGGATTATTTAGCAAGACCCTGACTCAAAAAAAAAAAAAAAAAGTAGAAACAAAACAAAAGGACAATATTGGGTCACAAACTGTAGCGAGTCAGCAGAGGTCATGAGGGTGCGCCCCTGGCACAAGTTGCTACTGTGGCCATCGGGCTCCTGAGCGGGGATCCCAGGGCTCCTGTGCACCCTAGGGCATCGCAGCCCCACTTCACAGTCAAATCCATCTTATTTTTTTGTAGGGAAGAAAAGGGACGAAAAATGATAAAGTCTCTTCAAAAACAACTGATTAATGTTAAGAAAGAACGGCAAGCGGAAGTGCAGGTAAGCACCCCTGCCGGCACCAGGAGTGGTGGCGCTGGGACATCTGTGTGGAAGCTGCTTTCTCGGGCGGGGGGTGGGGAGATCTGCGTGGGGGAGATCTGCGCTTCTCAGGGTGCCTTTTTCCTGACACTAGAAAGAGAGGAGCTAGAGAACAGACCCTTCTGGACCCCAGGCCCCTGGAACTCTTAGTCCATCGTCACCCTGGTGTCCCACCCCAGTCTCACCACCAAGTAGCCCAGGTTAGCCATGAACTCTTGAAGACTCTTGTGCCTCTACCTCGCAAGTGTTAGTGCTATAGGGGATAGAAACTCCCAGCCTGCTAAGTGTTCCATAAACTGAAGAATAAATTTTAGGAACAACAGAGGTTAAGAGCAGAAAATATTTACTGGGGAAAGAAGGCTTCTGCCTGAGAGAGTTACAGAAGGGGTCCCAAGTGGGTTGCCCGGGACTCTTCCTTTCCCAGAGAGTTTTATAGAACACAATCATGAGGTGAGGTGAGTCTAAGGTGGGGAAAGATAGGAAATCCTCTTCTTTCTTTTCCTTTTCTTCCTCCTCCTCCTCCTTCTCCTCCTCCTCTGTCTCCCCTGCTAAGCCTGGCTCTCAGGCCTTACCCAAAACTGCAAGCCCCAAGAAGCCAGCCCTGGGGAGCGAAGGTCCTGCAGTCCCTGGAGACCAATACATTCCCTATGAGACTCTGAGTGCCTGAGCTACTCACCTGTGGAGCATGAGCATCCCTCACTGTTAGGTTTTTCAGCAGCACAGTAAGAGACAGGAAAGATGAAAGAGGCTTTTATTAACTCTGAGGACATGGAGAGAATCTGAGGGATCCTTTGAACAGAACAAAAGAAGGCTGAGACTATGGACTTTTGCCATAGTCAGAGTTTGAGGGGCATGTTTAGTGACTCCTAGGGAGCTAATTGGGGTCTCTCTTGTGACATGGGAAAAATGAAAGGAAATTGTATCCTGGACTGGGTTGGGGAAGAAGTGGGGAGGTGGTCTCTGGGAAGATAAGCTGTTGTTTTAGGGCTTCAGCCATGTTAGATGACCACCATAATTTAGCAGTTTATACTAGGCTCAGAACCTATCACTCAGCCCTCACCCTAGGAGCAGCAGAGCAACAGCAAGTGGGTTTCTAGAAGGGGCCAACATGGGCCAGCCACTGTCCCAGCCACAAGTGCAAAAGGGAACCCTTGGCCTGTGCAATGCGGCTCATCCAGGTCTCCATAGATCTTTTGGTCTGGAGCAACAGGGAGTGCCCCGTGTACCCCAACAGAGCCGTGGGAGGGATCCGTATCAGCCCTGCCAAATCCTGCAGCATCTTGTGGGGGAGGACTGTCTTCACTCCTTTTTTTCCTTTGTTCCTATGCAGTGTTAATCTCTTTGAGTTTTTCCTAGTTCATGTGTTTGGGGATTTTGGGGAGAGAGGGAATGTCAATAGGAGTTGGAAGAAGGAAGGATGCAGTTCAGTTCAGAGCACCTCAGCCTGAAATCAAAAGGCCTTGGGGGTTGGGGGCCTCCTTAGATCTTAAGGGTGATGGTTTGGTACTTGGGAAGTTGTGTGAGGCATTCTTTTTTTTTTTTATTTTATTTTACATTTATTTATTTATTATGTGTATGTGTGTGTGTCCAGCTCAGCCCACAAGGGGGCGGGACTGGCTGGCATGTGGTGCTGGGGGATTGAACCATGGTCCCTGTGGTTTGCTAAGCTTGTTCCAAGTAGGTGCTTTAGACCACTGAGCCATCTCACCAGCCCTATGTGAGGCGTTCTTAAAAGGGGTAGTATGATTTATTTAGTTGACCCCTGACTGTCCCCTTGAAGTTGTAGCCCCCTCCCCTAACTTTTCATTCATTTATTTTTTTTATTTTTTTTGTATTTTAGGGAAAGGTCTACAGGGTGTTCAGGGTCTCACTACTAGATCAGACTCATAGTGATCCGCCTGTTTACAGCCTCCCAAGAGCTGGGCTTACAGGTGTGAGCCACCACATCCAGTCTCAATTGCCATCTCAGCATGCCCCAGGGGCGGGGCTGGCAGGGCAGGCCCAGGGATTGAACTCGGCATGCAGGCGCTTTAATCTGCTGAGCTATTTGGCCAGCCTTTCTTTCTTTCATTTATTTGGTACAGGATCTTGCTATGCAGCTCAGACTCGTAGTGATCCTCCTGAGTCAGCCTGGGATCGATTTCAGTGGCCAGCTTGGTGCCCGCATGGCATGTGGTACTGGAGATCAGGGTCCTTGCACTTGCTAGGCAGGCGCTTTAGACTGCTGAGCTATCTCCCTAGCCCCCAACTTTTCTCCATGTTTCTTAAAAGGCATTTTGGTTTTTAAAAGTGTACATAGCCAAGACTGGACGTGGTGGCACATGCCTGTAATCCCAGCACTGGGGAGGCTAAAAACAGGAAGATCACAGCAGTCAAAGCTGTGTAGCGAGACACTGTACCAAATACATTAAAAAAAAAATCTGTATAGCAAGAGTAACTTTTTCCTGTCAAATAAAAATGAGAAATGCAGGAAAATAATGGGAACTCATAAGATGGGCATGGAGTGGGACAGAACTGTGGTCAACAAATAAAAATATGAGCATAATTTTTTTAAAAAATTATTTATTTATTTGTGTGTGTGTGTGTGTGTGTGTGTGTGTGTGTGTGGCCAGCTCAGCCCACCAGGGGGCGGGGCGGGCTGGAATGTGGTGCTGGGAAATTGAACTGCGGTCCATGTGCTTTGCTAAGCTTGTTCTAAGTAGGTGCTTTAGACCACTGAGCCATCTCACCAGCCCAATATGAGCATAATTGCTCAGGTAATATTGATTAAATGTGGAAACAAGTCCTGTAACAAGAGGACATAAAGCGGAACAGGGGCTCTTCCTGGAGGGGTGGGTCAGTGGCTCTTCCTGGCTTTTCCGAGGTGACGATAGCTATTTAGTTGCTTATCCTTAGGGGAAGTCTGTGGGGGCATTCCTTTCAGCTTTTGTCTTGAGATTTGGCCCTCAGCCAGGGTGCCTGTCTGTCCTACAGTTGCCAGGTATCCCGTCTTCTGCACTGACTCCCTTGAGGGCCCTGCGCCGTCTGACTTAGCTGTCTGTAACACTCGCCCCTCCAAACTGCCATGAGGAAGCAATGAGTGATGACCGATCTGGCTTCTTCAGGCTGAAGCGGGTCGCGTTGTGATCAGCAGTCGGAGACACCCTGCAGGGTCTATCTAAAGGCCCTCGGTAGACGCCAGGCATTCTCGTCTCATGTAGGCATGTGGGTTTAAGTCTGGAGCAGACAAAGCCAAAGAGACAATTAAGTATGCATGGGCCAAATAATAAGATCTACAGGATAATTATGAACACAGTCAACAAAGGTTTCTACCACGACATAACAGCTTCCCACACAGAAGATAAGGAAAAACTTCAGGAATTTCAGAGTCTGACATGCCATTAATTTGTCATGTAACTTCCTCTTCCTGTAAGCGGCCTTAGGTGACCTGTGAAAATGGTTCGCTACTCTCTTGACCCAGAAAACCCCACAAAATCATGCAAATCAAGAGGCTCAAATCTTCGCGTTCACTTTAAGAACATGCGTGAAACTGCCCAGGCCATCAAGGGTATGCATATCCGAAAGGCCACCAAGTATCTCAAGGATGTCACATTAAAGAAGCAATGTGTACCATTCCGGCGTTACAATGGTGGAGTTGGTAGGTGTGCCCAGGCCAAACAGTGGGGCTGGACACAGGGTCGGTGGCCCAAAAAGAGTGCTGAATTTTTGCTGCACATGCTTAAAAATGCAGAGTAATGCCGAACTTAAGGGTTTAGATGTAGATTCTCTGGTTATTGAACATATCTAGGTGAACAAAGCACCCAAGATGCGCCGCCGTACTTATAGAGCTCATGGCTGGATTAATCCATACATGAGCTCCCCTACCATATTGAGATGATACTTACTGAAAAGGAACAAATTGTTCCCAAACCAGAAGAGGAAGTTGCACAGAAGAAAAAGATATCCCAGAAGAAACTGAAGAAACAAAAACTTATGGCATGGGAATAAATTAAGCATAAAATAAATGCAAATAAAATTAAAAAAAATTTGTCATGTAATATCTCAAACATCTATTGAGGTATTAGCAGGAGGATGAGAAACACACACACACAATGTTCAGCTTTTACAATTGTTCAACTACCCTCCTGTGCTGCTCTTAGAATGTCTGATGCCACCTGATTTTTTTTTCTGTATTTAGGGCCATCTGATTTTTTAAGACAGCTTATCTCATTAATTTTATTTCTTTAGGAGAGAGAGAGACCAGCTGTGGTATAAAGAGAATAGTTAAGGCCTCAATATGTGTCATAGGGGCTGGCCAAATAGCTCAGTGGATTAAAGCACCTGCAAGCAGGCACAGGGGCTGGGAGTTCAATCCCCCGCCTGCCATGCCGGCCCCACCCCTGGGGTATGATGAGATTTGGCAATTGAGACTGGGCGTGGTGGTGCGCACCTGTAATCCCAGCTCTTGGGAGGGTGTAAACAGGCGGATCACTAGGAGTCTGATCTAGTAGTGAGACCCTGAACACCCTGTAGACCCTTCCCTAAAAATTAAAAAAAAAAAAAAAGTATCATAAAATCCTCTCTCAACAAGGTTGAACTGGTAGGTTCTGGTAAAAGGAGTCTAGCATATCTGTGATTGGTTTTATCGGCATGATCACTTGGGTATGCAAGAATAAATACATTTTTAAGAAATTAGAGAATGTATAATTAAAGTATACACATTAAGCTGATATGTAAGTTTAGAACCTGTTCTTAAGGGACTGGAATAGCAATTGTTATCCACTGGCTCTTAGACTCTTAGGAGTATGATATTTTGCTCTAAGTCTCTCCAGTTTTAGTTGTAATTATTTTAAAAATTTGATGACTTAGGAGAACCAGATTATAACAATTAACACATTATTTTGACCAATGAAAAACTCAAAAAACAAAACAAAAAACTCTCAAGTTATTCTACAGAAACAATATATATTGTTATGGTAAAA